CAAAAATTTCTTATGGAAATATGAAGGACCCTGAATAGCTGAAATCAATCTTGAGAAGGAAGAACAAAGATGGAGACATTACTCTTCCTGATTTCAAAATATATTACAAAGCTACGGTTACTAAACCAGTATGGTACTAGCATATAAAGACAGACATATAGACCAATGAAACAGAGAGTGTAGAAATAAACCAATGCATGGATGATCAATTAACCTTCAACATAGGTAATAAGAATACATAATAGGGAAAGGATAATCTTTTCAACAAATGGTGCTGAGATAACTGGATATCCACAGAAAAAGAATGAAATTGGACCCTTATACCATAAACATCAATTAAAAATAGATTAAAGATGTAAATTTAAGACCTGAAACTGAAAATGCCTAGAATAAAACATGGGGGAAAGCTTCATGTCATTATCTTGGCAAGATTTCTCTGACATGACACCAAAAACACGGGTAACAAAAGCAAAATAGACGTGTTGGACTATATCAGTCTGAAGAGCTTCTGCACAGCAAAGAATACAACTCAATGAAAAGGCAACCTATGGAATGGGAGAATATATTTTGTAAACTATACAACTGATAAGGGGTTAATTTTTTGTTTTTGTTTTTTTCCTTTACTAACTCCAGGGTACACGTGCAGAATGTGCAGGTTTGTTACATAGGTAAATGTGTGCCGTGGTGATTTGCTGCACAAATAAACTCATCACCTGGGTATTAAGTCCAGCATCCATTTGCTATTCTTCCTGAGGCTCTCCCTCCCCACCTGCTTGACAGGCTCCAGTATGTGGTGTTCCCCCCACCATATGTCCATGTGTTCTCATCATTCAGCTCCCACTTATAAGTGAGAACATGTGGTGTTTGTTTTTCTGTTCCTGTGTTAGTTTGCTGAGGATAACAGCTTCCAGCTCCATCCATGTCCCTGCAAAGGACATGATCTCATTCCTTTTTATGGCAGTGTAGTATTCCATGGTGTGTGTGTATCACATTTTCTTTATCCAGTCTATCACTGATGGGCATTTTGGTTGATTCCATGTCTTTGCTATTATGAATAGTGCTGCAATGAACATATGCATGCATGTATATTTATAATAGAATGATTTATATTCCTTGATATATATGGAATTTGTGTTAATTCCCCAAAGATCTAGACAGAGGCAGAAATACCATTTGACCCAGTAATGAGATTGCTGGGTCAAATGGTATTTCTGCCTCTGTCTAGATCTGTGGGGAATTATCACACTGTCTTCCACAATGGACGAATTAATTCATACTCCCACCAATAGTGTAAAAGCATTTCTTTTTCTCTGCAACCTGTCTGTTGTTTCGGGGGAGTTTTAATAATTGCCATTCTGACTGGCATGAGGTGGTATCTTATTGTGGTTTTGATTTGCATTTCTCTAATGATCAGTGATGTTGAGCTTTTTTTCCTGTTTGTTGGCCACATGAATGTCCTCTTTTGATAGGTGTCTGTTCATGTCCTTTGCCCATTTTTATTTATTTATTTATTTATTTATTTATTTATTTGAGACAGAGTCTCACTGTGTTGCTCAGGCTAGAGTGCAGTGCTGTGGTCTCAATCTCGGCTCACTGCAACCTCCTCTTCCCAGCTTAAGTGATTCTTCTGCCTCAGCCCCCCGAGTAGCTGGGACTACAGGCTTGTGCCACCATACCTGGCTAATTTTTGTATTTTTAGTACAGACAGGCTTCCACCATGTTGGCCAGGCTGGTCTTGAACTTCTGACCTCAAGTAATCTGCCCACCTCAGCCTCCTAAAATGCTGAAATTACAGGTATGAGCCACTGTGCCCAACTTGCCCACTCTTTAATGGGGTTGTTTTCTTCTTGCAAATGTGTTGAAGGTCCTCGCAGATTCTGAATATTAGACCTTTGTCCAATGGATAGATTGAAAAAAATGTTCTCCCATTCTCTAGGTTGTCTGTTCACTCTGATGATAGTTTCTTTTGCTGTGCAGAAACTCTTTAGTTTAATTAGATCCTGTTTTTTAATTTTGCTTTTGTTGCAATTGCTTCTGATGTTTTTGTCATGAAATCTTTGCCCGTGCCTATGTCCTGAATTGTATTGCCTGGATTTTCTTCCAGGGTTTTTATAGTTTTGGGGTTTACACTTAAGTCTTTAATCTTTCTTGAGTTAATTTTTGTATAAGGTCTGAGGAAGGGACCCAGTTCAGTTTTCGGCATGTGGCTAGCCAGTTCTCCCAGCACCATTTCTTAAATAGGGATTCCTTTTCGCATTGCTTGTTTTTGTCACGTTTGTCAAAGATTAGATGGTTGTAAGTGTACAGCCTTATTTCTGAGTTCTCTGTTCTGTTCCATAGGTCTATGTATCTGTTTTTATACCAGTACCATGCTATTTGGTTGTTGTAGCCTTATAGTATAAAGTCAGGTAGCGTGATGCCTTCAGCTGTGTTATTTTTTCTTAGGATTGTCTTGACTATTCAGGTTCCCATGGATTTTTAAATAGTTTATTCCAATTCTGTGAAGAATGCCAATGGTAGGTTAATGGCAATAGCATTGAATCTATAAATTACTTTGGACAGTATGGCTATCTTCATGATATTGACTCTTCCTGTCCATAAGCATGGAATGTTTTCCCATTTGTTTGTGTCCTCTCTGAATTCTCTTGAGAGGTTTGTAGTCCTCCTTGAAGAGGTCTTTCACTTAAGGGGCTACTATTTAGAAAATATAAGGAACCCCTACAACTCAAAAACAAAAAAAACCACAAATAACTAGATTTAAAAATAGGCAAAAGACTGATATTTCTCAAAAGAAGACAATAAATGGCCAACAGGTGTACAAAACAGATGCTCAACATCACTAACCATCAGGAAAATGCAAGTTGCGACTATAATTAGATATTGTCTCATACCTGTTATTAGGATGGGATGGCTGTTATTTTTAAAAGATGAGTGTTGGAGAAGATGTAGAGATATTGGAGCCTTAGTGCACAGTTGGGGGAATGTAAAGTGATGCAGCAACTATAGAAAATGTTACCGAGTTTTCTCAAAATATTAAAAATTAAACTACCATCTGATCTAGTTATCCCACTTGTGGGTATTTATCCAACAGAATTAAAGTCAGGATCTAGAGAAGCTATTTGCATTCCTGTATTCATTGCAGCATTATTCTCAATGGCCAAGATTTGGAAACAACCTCAGTGTACATAGATGATTAAAGAAAAATTGGTATATAAATATAAGGGAATGTTATTCAGCCTTTAAAAAGAAGGAGATTCTACCACATATGACAACATGGATAAACCTGGAGGACGCTTTCCCAAGTAAAATAAGCAAGTCACAAAAGAGCAAATACTGCATGATCCCACTTATCTGAGGTATCTCAAACAGACTCATAGAAGTGGTTGCCAGAGGCTAGGGGGAGGGGGAAATGAGGAGCTGCTACTCAATAGGTATAAAGTTTCAGTTATGCAAGATGAAGATGTTCTAGAGGTCATCTGTACAACATTCTGTCTACGGTTAATAATACTGTATTGTACACTTAAAAATTTAAGTGGGTAAATCTCCTGTTAAATGTTCCCACCACCATAAAAAAAAAGAAAGAAAGACAACTATAAGCTATTGAAGGATGCTCAGTGGTATGTGTGGTGATGTAGGCAGTTCTTACTTTTGCTTAGGAGTTTGTTTGCTTGTTTACCGGTATGGTAAGCATTCTGTGAGAGCATTCTTGCCTCCCATGTGGTCCTTCTTGGAAACAGGGCTGGATTTGTGCCAGTATGCAGTGGGATTCTGACTAAATGTTAATGTTTGAGAGGCATGCACAAGGCCTGGAGCTGACAGTGTCTTCCTTGTTGTCTTGCAACTCCTAACATGTATCACCACTTTGAGTTAGGGTCGGTATTCAAGTCCAATTGTTTCCAGGTAATCATTGATGTGCTGACATGTAGCACACGTTAAATAATCTAACAGAGAGTAAGTGCATTTTTATATGTTTTGGAGATTAGAATCGGATCCAAATGAGGTGTAAGGTAATGACACTGCGAGATCTGTGGTGGGGAAGCGTGGTGGGGAGAAGAGCTTCAGCAAAAAGAGGACCAACGAAGTATCAACCGCCAGTTTGCATCTGTGCCTGGGGGGCAGTCCTTCCTGTGCTCGGGGCACATGTGTATACTGTGATTGACAGGCCTTAAGGAGAAAGGCTAAGGTCATGAAACAAAGCTCTTTTCTTTTCTTTTCTTTTCTTTTCTTTTCTTTTCTTTTCTTTTCTCTCTCTCTTTCTTTCTCTCTTTCTTTTTTTATTATACTTTAAGTTCTGGGATACATGTGCAGAATGTGCAGGTTTCTTACATAGGTATACACATGGCATGGTGGTTTGCTGCACCCGTCAACCCATCATCTACATTAGGTGTTTCTCCTAATGCTATTCCTTCCCTAGCCCCCCCACCCCCTGACAGGCCCCAGTGTGTGATGTTCCCCTCCCTGTGTCCATGTGTTCTCATTGTTTAACTCCCACTTATGAGTGAGAACATGCGGTGTTTGGTTTTCTCTTCCTGTGTTAGTTTGCTGAGGATGATGGTTTCCAGCTTCATCCATCTGTCTTTCCTTTTCTTTTCCCTCCCCACACCTTTTCCACATTCCTTTCTTTCTCTGTAAAGGCTAGCTGTGATATGTACATATTGCACCTGTCACCCTGACCTCATTGTAGAACCATCTTCTGAACAACTGGCAACTGATGCTAAGTGCTATGAATGCAGCTTGTGGGAACGGAGCACACCGGTATAAAAGGTGAAACTAGACGTCCTTATCTGTAAAGTGAGGGTGGCAGGCTAAGCAACTAATATGCTTTGCTTAAGATTTTATATTTGTGAAGCATTTATATGTAAATGCTTTCACTTTTTCCTCTGATCTCTAAGGAAGTGGTATTAAGTTTAAATTTGTCACAATTTCACAGCGTGACTCTTGGTTGAAATGTCACTGACAACTTGCGGTTTGGACTTTTTTTTTTTTTTTTTTAACTCTAGTCAGAAACAACTAGAAGCCATTAAACAACTGCAAGAAGATGCTGTCAACCAGGAAGGCATCCTTAGAAAGAGGCTCCAAGAAGCCAGCCAATGGCTGGAGGATGCAGAGGAGCAGGTAGGGTGGCTCATGGCTACATTAGATTCAGGGGATGTCTCCTCAGATGTCCTGAAAACCATGAAATGAAAATGCAGGAGGAACAGCAGCAACAAACAACAACAACAACAAAAAAGCAAAGAGGAACTGCAAGTTCAGTCCCTAGCGACTAGCAGTGAGCAGAGGAAGTAAAGGGGGAGTTGTAAGAGAGGCAGTGTCAACAGCCTGCTGATGAAAGAGGCGACTCTGCAGAAAGAGGCAACTTGACATATCAGGACTTTAACTGCTGTAGAAATAGCTCAGGCATACCAACCCCATGCAAACACAGAATTGCAGAAGTTCAGGAGAGGCTTATCACTTCCCTGAGAAGAAAAACACATTTTCAGTTTTGCCTGCATCTTAAGAGTGAGCACTCAATTGTTTTCTTTCCTGGCCACACTGCTAGAATCCAGTATTAACTATCCATATCCAGGTTAAGGATCGAGATCGAGAAGCCCACTGTGCCAGTGAAAAAGCTGCGTCTTTACGGCATAAATTAGAGGAAGCAATTTGGGAACCACGGAACCTTCAAACTATAAATACTGAGTTATCGAACCCTTGCCAGGCACTTCAGCAGAAGACAAGGAAACTGAAAAGTGAGTAGCAAATATTCATTTATGCTCCAGTTTTTGTCCACCCTGAGGCGGGGCATAGGACTACAGACATTTTTCTAGATTGCAGCTAGGATATTATTCATGAATTTATGGCAATGAAATGGTTTGAGAAGGCAGTATTGTGGGGCTTTAAGAGAGGTTTGCTGAGTAGCTAGGTACATGCATGGGTTTAACCATTAACTTCCCTTTTTGCTTTATTATGAGCTGGTTTTGTCTATGGCTGTTTTTTCTTTTAAAATTAAACTTCTCAATATTTCTAAAAGTAAACAAGGAGAAAAATCAAGTATGCATGGTATATTTGAACTTTCAAGTTGTTATACAGTATACTCTGATTTTATTAGCTAATTTTTTCCTCTCATATGGTAGAAAGGCCTTGCCCCTCTATTTTCTTTGATAATTTTAGGGGACTAGGCAAAATAATTATGAATTCAATGTATATCAAAGTACTGAACATGTGTGAACATTCTTTTAAAATTTTAATGCATTCTTTACATATTTTGCATTTTAAAAATTGGAATATTTGTCATTTTTCTGTATTACCCAAAAGTGTATAAGCATTTACCAGGGATTTATGTGAGAAGACAATTGTCACATTACAGATGTCAGATTAGCTATAAAATTGTTTCCTTCTAGAAACATAGTATGGTAAAAATAAACCTTCCTTACTTTAGCCATTTATCAGACAATTGCTTTTGTTTGGCCAGTTTCTTGTTGCAGCAGAATAAATGTTCTTTTTATAGAAAGTTATTTGGTTTGAGTAATAACAACTAAATATAAGCTTAAGGTAGGCTAGAGATTAAAAATTTCAGACTTGTATTTGTTTTGGATTTATTATACGCTTTCTATTATCTGAGAAAGCTATTTAGGAATTTAAGAAACAGTCTAGTTTTAAAATAGCAATGGTTTGCCAGGCATGATGGCTCACCCCTATAATCCCAGCATTTTGAGAGGCCGAGGTGGGCAGATTGCTTGAGCTCAGGAGTTTGAGACTAGCCTGGTCAACATGGCGAAACCCCATCTCTACAAAAAGTACAAATAAATAAAAGAATAGCAATGGTTATTTAACATATTGTGGTTATAATTTTTAAACCTGTATGAATTTGCCAGTTTTTATAATTCTAAATATTTATTTTGATTCACTCTTTATGCTAGTAAGGCAGCCTTTAAATTACATAGTCTGTGTGTAATTTTTACTGCTGCTCAGAGGGCACTGGAGGGTGTTGCCTGGTGATTAGAATATACATGTCAAGACACGAATCACAAGGCATTCCAAAGTTGTTTTAAGGTGTGTCTGCTTTAGACACTGTGCTCAGGACTATTCTTTTGCTCCAGTTTTGCCTTTTGATTAAATCAATGTTATACCTAAGTTTTATAAACTGCTAGGAATTTGTTCCCCTTCCTCACTCTGATTTTCTTGCAGTATTTTCTTAGAAGAGTCAACTTTTATAACTTATCCCAAAGTGTACATTCTTAAAATTATGAACTTGCTATTGTTGTCTTCCCAGTTTATCTTAGGGCATAATAGGTCCAAATGTACTTAAAAGCAGAATTATGAAAGCTGCCCTGAGTTGATACATGTTTTTTTTTTTTCTGCCCGGATAAAGTAGAGTGGACACTTCCTTTCTGTCTTGAGTTATTCATAACCTGTCCAGATTCATGAGATCCTTTATTTGTTACTTGTATCTTTTGCCGTAAAAAGAACCCATACAAATCAGGATTTTGCCTGTATGACCATTTACTTATGGTCTTTCTAACAGTGCCCTTTAAATTCAGCCTTTGAGAGAAGAGGGAAATTTAGAGAGCACGTATTTTCAAAATGTTCCGTATAGCAGATGTTCCAGATAGACTGTGAACAAATGTCAATGAGGTAGCAGTTATCACACAAACACATCCACGCACATCCCACCATGACCACTGCCACCCCATGCTGTTTGAGTTCTGAGTCAGACGTCTGAATTCTGAGTCAGAAAACAAAACATATTTAAATCTATTTAGTTTTTCTGAAACTCTCTGGCTAGTTTAATAAATTCACAAAGTATTTCAGACAGTTGTCTTCTGATCCATCTAAGTTGCATCAGCACATTGTGTGGGGAGGCAGTTGGTTTGTCCAAATGTTCAGATCAATGTGCATAATGTTCACAGACCAGAGCTGGAAATTTATTCATGACATTTGATCGGAAATCCTGAGCTTTATCTTGAATAAATAATATTGTTCAAGTTCCAATTGCCATCAGGACTGGGCTGGTTTATGAGGCAATTCATGTGCATGATATCCTTCAAGAAATGTGCCATGAAAACTATTCAATTGCTTGAAAGGTTACTTATATATTTTCTTTCTTCTGCTTCTAAACTTTGTTTATATGTAAGTATGTTGTTAATATATGCATGACTGGATTATAATTGGTATTTTATTTAAAAAGAGCATTTTAAAAGCTTATAGGATGAATATATAACATATTAGGGTGAATCTTATGTACAGAAATCATGGACTAATTGATATAATCCAAAATTATCACCCCCTTACTATTCACCGTCTCCTGTTCCCATCTGACATGAAATCATGGAGTCAGTCTTCTAATAGACAATGAGAGAACTACCTTTAAGAACCATAAATTTTTCCTTGAAAAGAGATCCCAGGGAGCTCCTATATAGCATAATTTCTTATTTGAACACAGTATCTGCACCTTAACTTCATAGTTTAGAGAAGACTTTCACCTAGATGCGATCATTTCAAACACTCTTCTAGCTTACTATTCTTAGCATGGAGGGCACGAGGTTTGGGAGAGGTAAAAGCTTTAGGGCTTGGAGCATGGATGCAAGATGAAAGCCTTCTGTCCTAAGCAGTCAGTAAACAGGAGGGAAGTGATCCAAAGAAGGTGGGGGCACGGATCCAGGTGATTGAGATACTTAAAGATAGAAGGTTTTGGGGTGACAGCCAAGGAGAAAACCAAAGCCAAATATAGCTTGCTCAACAACTCTGATGGAGTGGGGACCCAAGTTTTCCCAGATGAAAAATGGAGATATGGAGAAGTTATCTGGGAAGTATAGGATAATGATTAAGAACATGGGATTGAGTGTTCTGCCTGCTTCCGGACGCGCAAGAAGACTTGTGCTCCGGTTCTCGGACTTCCCCAGCAGCATGGCCCCCAAACGCCAGTCTCCACTCCCGCCTCAAAAGAAGAAAC